GGATGCTCATATGAGCAATAGGGGTTAGGTGTAAACGGGACTGCCCAGTATGGGCCAATAGGCCCGCTGCAGTTTCCTCCATTCTTATGTTCTTATGTTCTAGATCTTGTGTCTGTCAGTGTGAGATGCATGCTTTGACTCTTGGGAAATCTTTCCCCGGGGTTGAAAATTCCACTGTGACACACTGCTCCATTCACGAGGTTCCTTGCATGCCCATAGCATATAGATTTTTAGTTTTTTAAATACATTTATTCATCCATATTTTTAGATAAATTATTCAGGATTTTTTAGTAAAAAAAAAGGTGTTTCTAAGATAATTAGAACTGATTTTATAGACTCTAGTATCAACATATCTTTTTTTTTTTCTTAAGAGAAGTGAGTTCCCATCATTATATTGTGTGAAAATATTTTGTTTAAGGATCTGTTATTGGAAAAGTCTGGTAGAGAATTTATTGAGGATCACCCCCCCCCCCAAAAAAAAAGGTTTGCCTTCCACTTGCGACCTCTGCCTCTTTCAATCATTCTACTACAACTCGTTCATGACACAAAATTGTTTATTTGTTATTCATTAATTAGTAAAGATAAGTTACTGTAATATTCTGTACCCTTCATATATAATACTGTATAAACTTTATCTCATAGGTTAAAAATAACATCATCAGGAATGCATCTCCATATATGCAATGGTACCAAATTCATTTCTCTAACACAAATAGAGTAGATGTTGTGAATAAAAGTTTATAAACTTTTTATGCTGCTCATAAATGTATTTGCTACATAGCTTTTATCTTTATTGAAGACATCTTCAGGTTATGAGACCCACTAATCCCTCACCTTGTCACTGGGTGACCTGACATTGCATGAGACCACCCTATCCTATCCCACCTCCACCTGACATTGATCAGGTCAGATCAGTAACATTTCTAACACTTTTTTTTTTATTTAAGAATTTAGTCCCTTTAGTTGAGTTTAGTGTATATGGGAGGAATGTGGGAGAGAAGGAGATGTAGTGTTAACTCATGGGCTTCCACCGGGAGAGTTCTGTTCATTAGTCCTGGCCAGATTATTAAAATTTGTACCACCAGTGGTGCCACCCATTAACCCATATGAGCTGCAAAGAGTAATCAAACCCCCAGTTCATTATAACCTAAGTTCGAGACAGTATCCAATTGCCACGACACTACACTCCTTTGCTTAAATTAGGATATACAGTACATTATGAATCCCATCATCTAGGAAGGACCTGTTATAAGAAGATAGTAAAGTATAGGATTATATCTATTCGTTCTTTAAACATACAATACTACTACTACTACTTTGCTGTCACTCAGAATCGATTATGACGATCATCCGGTTATGGTACAATGATATGTGTTATGAAGGATGTCACCTACGTTGATGAGTTCTGAGGTAACTAAAGAGGCCGCTTCGGGACCGGCAGTGTCGTTCACATATTGCACATGTGGAGGGCTACATCTAGTGTGGGAAGGGCAGAGGCAGCTTCTTTCCCACAATGATGCTTGTATGCCTTGGTATGCAGTCGGGCTAACTTGAAAATATTGACACCTTTTCGTGTGGTGATCCTCCAAGTGTCACGGTGTGGAGTAATTGTTTCCCAGGAGTCGATTTGGCACTTTTTCAGGTTTGTCTTAAGACTATTATTATAACTTTTCAGTTGCCTACCAGCGTTACATTTACCATTTGTTAGGTGACTGTAAAGTAGCTGCTTTGGCAGTCTACTGGTGTCCATGTGGGTAACATGGCCAGTCCATCGTAGTTGTTCATGGATAATGATAGCCTCGATGCTCCTACAGTTGGTGTCAGCGAGAATACTGGCATTTGTTCTCTTGTCTTCCCAGCGAACTCGGAGGATGGAAAGTAAACTACGTTGATGAAAGTTTTCTAGTGCCTTAAGGTGCCTCCTGTATGTGACCCATGTCTCGCTGCCATATAGCAGGGTGGAGACACGGGTACGGAGTCTGCCAAAGGCTTGAGATGCACATCTGATCCGATGTTGAATCTCTTCATCGTTGTCCGCAGTGGTGGACAGGTGGGTGCCGAGATATTGAAAGTGGGTAACATTTGAGAGGGTAGTACCGTTCAGCTGGATGGTTGGAGGAGGTGTGGCTGATCCAGGGGCAGGCTGAAAGAGAATCTTAGTCTTACGTACATTCACCTCAAGGCCAAAGTGTGCATACGCATCTTTGTAGGTGTTCAGGATTTCCTGTATGTCGCGTTCAGTGTAAACGACAAGGGTGAGGTTGTCTGCATACTGAAGTTTGGTAACGGAAGCTACCGACACTTTTGTTCCTGCCTGGAGTCATCTTATGTTGAGAAGACCCTTCATCCGGTACTGGATGTCCACCCTTCCAACTAAATTGACACTGGCACAAGTAAGGAAGGGAGCCAAGAAAATGGAAAAGAGAGATGGTGCCAGTAAACATCCTTGTTTTACCCTCGTTTGGATGGGGAAGAACTCAGACTGGGTGCCATTGTGCAGGACACTGCCGTTCATGCCATTGTGGAATTGCCTCACAATGGCAATGAATTTTGGTGGGCAGCCAAAACGGCTGAGGGTCCGCCAGAGGGCTTCCCTGTTAACCGAGTCGAAGGCCTTGGTTAGGTCGATGAAGGCCATGTACAGGTCACAACACTGTTATCTGCACTTTTCCTGTAACTGGCGGGCAGCAAAGATTATGTCAGTGGTGCCACATGATGGTCTGAAGCCACATTGAGATTCTGGGAAGAAGTTTTCTGCCTCAGGAAGAAGCCTGTTTAGGAGGACTTGGGTGATAATCTTGCCAGCTATGGACAGCAGCGAGATCCCGCTGTAGTTGCCACATTCTGACCGGTCTCCCTTGTTCTTATAAATATTGATGATGGAGGCTGGTAAGCAGAGGTCCTCCTGCTTTATACACCTCGGCTGGGATTCCATCAGGCCCTGAGTCTTTGTAATTTTTCATGTGTTTGATGGCAGTAGCTACCTCATCCAGGGGTGGAGGATAGCTGTGGTGGGTCAGCTCTGGATGCTGAGGGACCTACTGGGTAGTCAGGACATCTACATCGGTGTTTCAGTTGAACAGTGAAAGGTAGTACTCTTTTCAGGGCTGAAGGATGACTTCTTCATCTTTAATTAGGGAGTTACCGTTGGATGAGCAGAGGGGGGCTTCGCCATGCGTTATTGGCCCATAAAACTTTTTAATGGAATTGAAAAATTTGCGCAGCTTGTGTTGTTCTGCAAATCTTCGTGTTTCACATGATTTATTTTTAAACCAATACAAAAAATGAAACACACACACACTATGATCTCACAGTCTGTTCATTTGCAATCTATCTGGCTGCTACTGTCTGCAGCCGCTACTGGTAAGTGGCAGCTCACGACCGCACCCAGAAGCTTCTAGGACTTCCAGGGTGCTGACCAGTGACACATCAGGAGACTGGGTGTCCGGGAAGGTTGACCCTGAAGTGGACCCATCCGACGCTTTGATGCCATTCAGAGTATTACCCGAGGTTGATGGACACATTGAACACACGAGGTGGATGGCATTCCTGGTTGAACCATCTGTGAAACAATACAAGGAGTGCCCCACCTACATGTCATTTCATACTGGCTTCAAGTAGCGTGGAATCATCTTTGGAACTTGACCTTGGCGCCATACATGGATGTAGTCCCCTGGTCTTAGGTTTGTTGCCTTCGCACTATGTCTGTCATCATAGCGTCTCTTAATTCTGCTCTGCTGAGGACGATTCACTCACTGGTTCAGACTTCGATCTTCTGGAACCAGGGAAGAGATCCCTGGCAGATCTAAATACATCTGACCCCCATGGAGCATCACTGGTGGTGACACCCTTGTGGTGCTGTGTGGTGTGGCACGGTAGTACACCAATCGACTATGCACCTATCCTGTAACTGAGGCCCGGGATGAAGACTACAGATCCAGGTCTTGAAGGTTTGGTTAAAATATTCCACCGCACCTTTCGCCCTATGCCAATACGCACATGAGCAGGTGTGAATGATGCTAAGCTGCCACAGGTAATCCACAAACTTTTTACTGATGAACTGAGGCCCATTATCCGACACTATCTCGTCTGGATAACCCTCTCTCGCCTACACTGTACCACTGTATCCTGTAACCTCCGCTTGTAGAATCGAACAAGATTTTTTTTAATGAACTGTACTACAGTATACAGTATTACTTATGTACCGTAAGTAATACAGTATAAAATAAATGTATTCTTAGGCAAACTTCGATCTTAAATCTTAAGTAACTAGATATTTATTTAAAGTACGAGTATATCTGTCAACTCTTCCCCATGCAGTATTCCTAGATCACCTGCCTCATGTCATGCAGATTGGCTCGGGATGAACCTCTGCTAATAACTGTACAGTATCTCAAAAAAGTATCTGTCCACAATCTGTGTGAAATATTATGAAACCACGGATGGTAGATATTGGGAGATGTATTTACTTTGATGTATAGTTTAACATAAATAATGTAATGTGTATTTATTCTGATGTAATTAATATGATGTTCGGTTACCAAATATAGTAGGATCAGTCTGCCACAGAGCCAAGCATACCAACCCTCCCGGACATCACGAGTTGCATGTAGCATTCGGAAGCCATCGGCCCCATCCTGACAAATATTTTTTTCTGATACTGTATATCATTGTCTGTAAGGGTTAATATATGGACTCTTTATAAAGATTTTTTTTAAATACTGTATTGAATTTTTAAAAGTGCCTTTAATATTTAGTGAAAATTATTACAACAATTATTACAAAATCTGTTACAGTATTCACTTTTGTGTTCCTGAAGAAGGATACAGCCACAGCTTTATTGAGCAACCAGCTGTGCATACACCACATGAGGCACAGTACCATCATGCTGACTGTGTTTTTCTCAGGGATTAACTTTCTAATGAAATATCTTGTAATTTTTTCATTTATAGTAGATGGTTATGTACAGATGGTTATAATATAAAGAAAAATTTCTGCAGGCTGGAGTTTGGTACAACGTATCACAATGTGAGAGGTGTATGTGCCAAAACAATAATCTGATGTGCAGACGTGTGGATAATTGTGAAGAAACATCGACTGAACCCACCGTTGTGACACTTGGTATTCCAACCATGAAAATCACACCAAAACTACCAACTACTGTTGATCCTTTTACGCGATTCCCAAGCCTTTTTCAGTAAGTCATTACTGAAGGATGAGAATCCTTCCCATTTTGGCTCCTCTATAAGTTCAATTTTTAATGGATAAAAGTCAGAATTTAATCTCCTTGAATAAATATTTCTGAAATGTTTTGCTCTTGCTTGTTTTCTCCATTTAGATTTACCTTTAACAAGCTCTTTAAGATTCCTTGATTTAATATTGTATCTCATTTGATAATTTTGTTTTGGTGTTTATTCAATTTGTGTTGAGAAAAGCCGACTAACTTGTAATAGCTTTCATCATTCCGTAGAGATACTGTACCTTTATTTCTAGACATGACCATTGTTTTATAAGTACACATTAACCTTGATTTTTAAGCCTCCAATTTACAGATTCTGGACATGTGAAAATATAATTATCCACTGCATTGATATAAAGATGAAACCCTGGAGAGAGTTCTATAAAAATATACATACTGTACTGTACACTCCCCCAACCTTTTGTGTCCCAGTCTGTCTCTTCCTACACTTTCTGTCAGTGCATGGATGAATTAACTTTCAATTTCCATTTCAATTTCAATTGTTTATTCCTTGATAGAGGAAACGGGATCCTAGTGCTGTCACTAGGTACCCCTGTACAATGACACCAGAAGCATCTGGCAAGTGTGACAAGTATATACAGTATAAATATTATGAAGGGGCTTACTAAAGCCCAAGGAAGGAAGGATATTCCTTTAACACATAATCAATATTATTTACAAAATATCTGGCCAGTATGGGGAGGATCATCGTGTCTCCGTCAGGGGGTCGTGGAGTGGTGGTCCAGCAGGCGTCACGGAAGCGTTGTGTGTGAGGACATCTTAGGAGGTAGTGGATAAGGGTGCTGCTGTCGGGTCTTCAGCATAATGCACAAGAGCGTTGCTCAGGGGATGCGGGGATACCAATCTCCCAAGCAAAGTCATACCCAATGATGATACGGGCAGCAATCACGTCCCCTATCCGCGACCCTTTCCCGTAGACGTACGAGAGATCAGGAAGTTTACGGAGGACATCGTACCAGGTGGGCGGGGAGTCCAGGGGGATGGCTGCTTCCCGAGCTTCTCTCTGTTTGCGGCGAATTTGGATCCTAATCTGTAAGAGTGTTCCAGGAACAACGTAGTCAGGTGTGGCCTTGTTGTAGCCAGTCTTGGCAAGGCCATCTGCTGCCTCATTCCCCAAGATACCGACATGACTGGGTATCCATAGGAATGTCACAGGACGGCCTGCATCCTGAAGTGTGGATGTTAACCCTCGTATTCGGAGGATGAGGTCCTTATTTTCCCTTGATCCAAATGCGATCCCGTCGAGAGCAAACCTGGAATTGCAGCAAACAAGCAAGGGGCAGAAACCATCTGTTTCTGCCTCAGCGAGAAGGGCAGCAAGGAGGGCTATTAGTTCAGCCTGAGTGGAGGATGCCCCGTCAGAAACTCTGAGAGACAGTTTGATAGGCTCAGGGGCATCAGGACTTTTATTATCCATAACATCCGTTCTAACTGACCTGTCTTCCTCTTTTTAGCAGCATTTTGATCCGAGAGGAGGTCTTGGTTATAACTTCATCTTAATAAAGAATAATGGGAAATTAGGTATATTCAACATCAAATTAGGTGTTGAAAGAAAATAAGTTTTTTGTTTAAAAATTATTTGTTATAATTTATTACTTGGCTTCTAATAAACTTACATCTGTATTTTTTCTTCATTATAATTGAAAAAATAACAGGGATACAAAAATGGTCTAATGAAAACAATTCCATGAAATGAATACAATATTTCATTATGAAATAATATGGTGAAGAAAACTTTGTTTTGTTGGCTTGGCGAGTTAATGCAAGGCATATACCTATGTAGGTATAAAGCTAGACGTCGCATTCTGGACTTTATCACAAAAACAGTTTTTTAGAAGAAAAAAGTTTTTTTCCTGCACCCAAAAATATGTTTACTCACTTATTCATAAAATCTGTTCTAAACGACTTATCTATATATTTTTAGCACCATTTGGGTTGCAAAGGTCTTCGCTACAACTTTATTTAAATATAAGAATATGAGAAATAACTAGTGCAGGTATGCACATTATTTCTGATCTGAATTCAGCATTCACGAATTTCCTGTCAGGTGTTTTCGGAGTGATGAAAGTTACGTAAAATGTTTACAGTTATATATTCGTTAGCCGGAATCCTTCTTAACCGGAACTCCCGGATAGCCTTAATAGAAAATTTCTCAGAAAATAGTTCCCAAAGCCGGAATTTTCCTGAAAATTCTGGGGATGGGAAATTTTTTCAGGTTTGAGAGATTAAGATCAGGTGCATTTTCCGGAAATTTCAAGAAAATTTTCCGGTAAAAATGAAAATTCCCCCAAATTATGGGAATGGGGATATTTTTCTGCCTTTGAGAGATGAAATAATGCATCATTCTAAAATATTCTGAGAAAATTCCGATACCCAGAAAAAATTCTGGGGATGGGGGATTTCTTTCTGTCTTTGAGAGAGTCGTCTCGTTGCCTGGAAATATTTCATTCCCAGAAGTACTCTGCACCAATTGTTCCAGCTAATGGGTATATCACTGTATCTCCATATCAAATACTATCCAGTATGTTATAATGAGCCTGTTGTAAGCTGATTTTCTGAAAACTCTCTCAGGGAACACATCTAGAGCCTTAATTATTATGGGAAAAATTACTCATTATAAAATATTTCACTTTAGTCGCTTTTCTCTGCAATACTTCCCTGGCATATTATAATAACCTGTGTATATTATTCAATTGTAATTTAAAGATACTTTATGTATAACATTATAATCTCATTCTATACATCACCAGGTGTAATAATTGGTCACCTTATTACAAAAAAGAAGAAAAGGATAGTGAAGGTTTAATACTGAGTCTGGACATGCTGCGAACCTACAAAGGCTTTGTATGTGAAAACCCTGTTAATGCATCCTGCAGGGAAGTTACTAGTAAGTGGTCTTAACCAATGCTCTTAGTGCATGATTATATAACAAATATAATCCTATTATTTCACTTTCTGTATTAATTATAATGTACTGTACAGTACAGGGGCCCCCAAATTCGCCAAATCCGCGAAAAACATTTGCGGACAGGGGCGAGTGGGGGGGGAGGGACATTTTTACTTGTGTACAAAGAAATATATATTTCCTTTATGTGTTGCCCTTAGGACAATTATTTCTTTTACCTGTACTATTGTATATATATGTGTGTGTGTGTGTGTGTGTGTGTAGACACACACACACATACACACACACAAAACACATACAAATTAATAATGATTAGAAAATCCTTTCACAAATAATCAAACAAATTTATTAAGAATGTGACAGTCTACCCTCTAGTTCGTGCTCTATTACTTTGTTAATAGAGTACGAACTAGAGGGTAGAATGTCACATTTTTAATAAATTTGTTTTTGATTATTTGTGAGAGGATTTTCTAATCATTATTAATTTGTGTGTGTGTGTGTGTGTGTGTATCTACACACACACACACACACACACACATATTTACAATACAGGTAAAGGAAATTACTGTCTCTAGAACGAATGGCTCCCTGTCCCACCGCGAAAATGCCGGCAACTTTAAAACTACCCACAGACATTCTTGGGCACATGCAGGGTGTCATCCGCGAATAACCGAGAACCGCTAAGTAAAAATCCGCGAACTTGGGGGGGCATACTGTACTTAATTACTTAAGTCATAAGATATGAAAGGTATTTTGTAATTATTCTGAATGACCTTTGCAGATGGTCTTGCATAAATTTATTTAATATATACTGTAATTGCCAATAACATAGGACACTACTATACACTATCTACAAATTTGCTTTTCAGTGAATTTTCAAGAAAAAAATGATTTTTCTGTTTTTTCCTCAGCCAAGCTTCCTGCTGTTGATCTCGGGCAAACTTTAACCTGTGATGCTGTAGAAGGTCTCAAGTGCCTCAATCTTGATAATACCAAAGATTGTCATAATTATGAAATCTCATTCTTCTGTGAGTGTGAGGAAACGACTCCTATATCAACTACTGATATCGGTGAGTAATTCCTTTAAGTGTGTTGGAGACCCAATTGGTCTAATTATGGGCCATCTCCCTCTTAAGAAAATAATTACTACAGCTTTTGTGTTCATGAAATGGGCTGTACCTACAGTCTCCTACATTAGTGTTATTAAGAGATAGAAGTACAGCATGTGGTCTCAGATCCAGATTTAGTTATATACAAGGGGTCCCCAGGTTACAAACGGGTTCTATTCCTGAGGACGTTCTTAAGTCAGATTTGTACGAAGTCAGAATACATGCTATGTGCATACCGTACTTACAGAACAGTGTTTAGAATCCCACTATATCATAGTCTAAGTCCTTATATACGTATAAAATCGTTTAATTTAAGACAAAAGAAGAAATAGAATGACAAAATATAGTACATGAAAGTAAAAAACAAGTCATCAGGTAAATAAAATACTGTACTCTAAATTTCAAGTTCAACCCCGTTTGTATCGGCGGGCGTTCGTAAGTCGAACAGTCATAAGTTAGGGACCCCCTGTAATGAGATCAGTCACTTAGGGTATTTCTACATTTCTTTTCTTAATCCCTTCGCTCAGAGGGGCTGATATTGTCACCTAACACCCTATCTGAGTGGGTGAAGGAGTGGATGGGTTAGGAATGGGGTGAGTGTGAATGCAAGCTTCACTCATTCAGCTGGTAGGCCACTGACCACCATGTGGTGCTCAGTCTCTCATCAAACAAGTAAACAGACCAGGCTTGCCACTTGGAAAAAAAGAGATGAGAAATCAGGTAAATATGGTAAGCTCAATACTCACCCCAACACAAAGAAAATTTTTTTGACTAGGCCTAGTGGGATTTCAAAGTGTATTGGAAATAAGACTAGTGACATAACAGAGAAATTCCACCCTCCCAGCTTAACCAACTGCTATTGTTGTGGAGATTAATGGACATACCAGGTACGTCCTTTTTATTTCATACTTGGTGTAACAGGATGTACGATTACATCTCTCTACCTCAAGGGGTGAATGCTCCTAACACTTTTTGAATTGCCTGAAATTTATTTAAAGAGCCAGTCACTCGCTCTGTTTGAAGGCCACACAATTGAACTAGGCCTATGTCTATAGGCCTGAACGTTTATATTATATTAGGTTTTAGTAGCGAAACCCAATTGTCTGTTTCTCCTTTTATTGAGGAACTGCTGTTGATACAATTCCAGAGTGTAAATCATCCGTAACTTTCACTGTATATGAGTGTGAAGAGAAGGACGGGGGCTATGTAAATAGACCGATTAATCACTCCCTTCTTGTGTGTGAGATTGAGTGGAACCTCTATGAGTAGTGACCCATCGAGGGAGAACTGAGTAGGCACGTCGTCCTCCCTCGAGGGAAGACGGAACCATCCACGATGGTTCTCAAATAACGTCTTCTTCTATTCAAGGATATCAAACTACTGCCCACTTTAGGTGGCCAGGGAACCGGCTACTTAATGCCTTAACTCAGCATAATATGACGCAGTTTCCTGTGAGCACACCTTATCACGTGCACTGAACATGTCACCTCATAGCTAGTGGAAAGTTACAGGGGATGAATCAGTATATAAATCAAATGTAATTAACCCATTTATATAATTCTTCTGTTTATGAAACAGGGGCCATTACACAATGACCAGAAATTGCAGAGAAGATATTTTTCCCGAGCGCTATTCGTGGCTAAGATATTGTCAAACATTTATATAATTGATGCCTTTCTACGTAAAAAGGCCTGGGAAATCACATGAAACCCTCATAAATAAATAAATAAAATAAATATATATAAATAAATAAATATAATATATATATATATATATATATATATATATATATATATATATATATATATATATATATATATATATATATATATATATATATATATATATATATATATAAGCTATTTTAGCAAATATAAGTGAAAGGTGAGCGTTTACAGTTGATTCCTCTTTGTGCTGTACCGACATCATTGCATCAGTTAGTATAAAATGCACATAACAAGAAAGAGTAAATCATGAGGAAGACGATGGTGTAATGAGAAAAATTATAATGTAAAAAGTAACAGAGTTACAGAATTAAATATAAAAAATAAGTGATGATTAGGTGCACAGTCGCCCAAATGTTTATACACGTTATTATTCTTGTTATTTTTTTGTTGAAATATTTTGAAATATTTTTTTTTTTATGGTGGACTATTATCGTACACATACTAAGGAAGAGAAAGAGAACAGTTAGAAGTTTCTGTGACAAAAACTGAAATTTTGGCAATAATATTTCCACTTACCTCTCAGACGAGGTAGACCTTGGCATATGCAAGACAATGGCGATGGCGTTAGGAATACATATCAAATAAGAACAATATATTCATTATAATTCACCATACCCATATGCATGACTCTACTGCACATAGATGGGTTGCCACCTAACCTTAAAACGTGGTTCCGTGCAATTTGAACAGAAACTTTTAGAGAAAATGAAAAAAAAATGCCTTACTGGCATGTCTGATCGTGAGGCAAAAGTTTCATTTACATTATATCAACATGCTAGTCTGAGTGTTTGATCCCAAGAGTGTTAATACAGGTATATGCTTTCTTCTATACATCTGTCTTATTAGCCGTTATTTTGTAAGCATGATACAGTACAGTATTGACACATATTATAAGAATTTCCACATTAATATTATTGTGAAGGAGCACAAGAAGCAGCAATCATATTTTTAGATTGATAAAAATTCAGCTAACATCTCAAAATAAGATTAGTTAACCTATTGGAGCTATATTAACCTCTTGTTGTTGATCGTCAGACATTTTTGGTAAAAGTTAATGACATCACCCGAGCCCAATGTGACTGTGTGTTTGCATGCATGCATAATAATAGTAATAACATTAATAATACTGTGATAATAATAATAATAATTAACTGTTTATTGAGAGATAATATCAGTTATAAGCTAAAAATACAGAATGAACAGAAATGACATAGGTTATATATATATATATATATATATATATATGGTGACATTGGGAGTGAGTCATTGTCTCATTTCATAGTAAACATAGTTAGGGTTCGCACATGTCACATGGTGTTTAGCTGAAACTTTCACGTAATGTAGTGAGACCACTTTGTATATGTGTGAGTTTTGTCCATGCCAGCAATGGGAACAACCACCACCTTGGCACCATGTGATGCCTGGTCTCCTTGGATCAATGACATTAGGCCTTGGCAAGCTGATGGTGACACAGAGTTCAAGACCCTACAACAGTTACAAGAGGACCACCAGTTCTGTCTGGAGGTTAGTTACCTCACAGTTCCATACAGTTTTATTCAAACCTATTAATGAGGTAAGTCATGTATAAAGTTAGATACTATGTGTTAAATATTATCTACATCTATTTTACTTAACACTTAATCTATTTTACTTAATACAGAAAAAATGTTTTAAATTAGATATGTTACTCACTAGATTTGAACACTATCTGCATCCTTCCTGGTAGATGTTGGATGATATTTATACTCTGATCTTGTAAGACATGTTTAAAAACCAATACAGTACAGTACTCACATTATAAGAACCTTATTCCCTTGTATATAGCTATTACATAGGCTTCCCAAGATGACCCTTAAATGGTTAGAAAGATCATGCAAAAAATGACAATTGTAGGTATTCTACTAAATTTCAAGAACTGTTAAATAAGGGATCCAAGTTATTCCTTGGTTTTACAAAGATGAAAGGAGAAAATATACTTGCAGTCATGAAGACGTCACCTGAAGTATGAAATTTCATAGAGAAGTTTCAAGGTTACGTTTATGTTGCACTGAACAGATGCAAAGCTTATGACAAGTTTTGGGTCACTCAATGCTACCACTTCCAAAAATTTGGACACCTTGCTTCAGACTATCCCAGGAAGCCTGGTTCTGCAGTTTGTACCTTCTGTGCATGCTCAAATAAAATCCCCACCTTGCAGTGTATTCAGTAAGTAGACATTATTGTCTCCTAGGTTATACCCAATCACAAAATCAAGTCTACCCCCATCAGATGTGTCACTTTGTCTGTGTCGTATACAGTGATATTATGATTATTGATATAATTCACGAACACCCTGCCATTAGAGCAGGGCCGGATTCAGGAGTGGGCAAAATGGGCAGCTGCCCAGGGGCCTGCACAATCTAGGGGCCTCCACATGTGCGGTAATAGCTATATCAGGGCTGGTCGACTTGAAACCATATGAATGACTCCAGTCATGTCTCACTTTTGTGAGTGTGTGTGTGTTGGGAATTTGTACACTATCAATAAATATACAGTTAATTAAAAATTTCTCAATGTTCTAATTTCCTCAATATAACTGCATATGGCTTCAAATTTCTAAAAAGAAGTGTTCAAATTTCAAAATTTTCCCGGGGGGCTTATAGCTCCCCCGGAACTCCCAGATGTTTAGGCTCGCTTCACTCGCCACCCCACCCTCTTGGGAAGTTATAATGGGGGGGCCTCCACAGGTTTAAATCCGGCACTGCATTAGAGTTACACTAGACATCACCAAAGAAAGTGTGACGAGAGTTAAAGTCACCCATACACAGCATAGCAGTGTTACCTGCTGTCTTTGGTAACACGTCCGCTCGCAGCTCATTACACCGAACAAAGATGTTATACAGCGAAAATTGACTGTTTGCTAGCTTTACTGTAAATTGTTGATAGTGAATACTTTCATCATTGTGAGTTTTGATCCATTTACAAACCAGACCATTCTTTACATAAGTGAGCAGGCTACTTCCTGCTTCACTATTGTATGCTGTAAACCCAGCTATGATGGGTGCAGCTTTCTTCTGGGTGCTGGACATGTAAGGTTCTTGTAAACCAATTACATCAATGTTAAAAACTTTAACAAACCATTGTAGGTCATTGATTCTGCGGTTAACACTCCGGATGTTTCATGAAATGAACCTAAGATTTCGTGTTACTCTTTCCACCTTGAATGGAGTAGAGAGAGTCGTGCCTTGGCTTCATAGATCAACCTGACCAATAAGTTAACCGTTTCAAATTCATCACCCCTACCCATGGAGTTCTTGATAATGCATCTCACAGCCCTTATTCCGGTAGGATTTTTATACACAGGTTCCTTCATTAGTCCCGGAGTTCCTCCTCCGAAAATATTGGAAGAAGTACAGGGTTATGGACATTTTTCAGACCTGGGGTTAATAAAGAGACCACGCTGGCAGTCTGGGGCTCATTCTCCCCATTCATGCTTTCATCACTGTCGGTCTCACTCTGGCTACTCACCCTCAAGTTCGCATCATAATGAGAGGAGGGCACCAGCTCCTTCAGAAGCTCCACTGACATGATCACTGCCATTGTTCAGTGGTACACTTACTTGGCAGGCTTTAACCTGACCTGCATTGGCTAATGAAGGAGAGTCATTGTGGCTGTTGACTTCAGATGGTGGAGGCGATCCGGCCGCGTTGGCATCACTGAGTGTGACTGCTATTATGGATGGTGGCGGCCTCCCAGGACAACCTGGGTGCCAGGCCGTCACACCCTCCTCCCTGAACCTGGGACACTGCCTCCTGGGTGGGGAAGTGTGGCTGTTGATTTCAGGCGATGGAGGCGACTCGGCAGTGTTGGCGTTGTCGTCACTGAGTAAGACCTCTGTTGTGGGTGGAGGCGGCCTTCCAGGGCAACCTGGGTGCCAGGCCGTCACACCCTCCTCCCTGCACCTGGGACACTGCCTCCTGCGTGGGGAGGTGTGGCTGTTGATTGCAGGCGATGAAAGTGACCGGCTGACATGGTGCATCCCAGAGTGCTAAGAGAATTGTGTAACGAGCTTGCCGAGCCCCCAAAGATCCTGTTTTGTGTTTGCCTGGATGAACAAAAGGTCCCCAGTGATTGGAAAGTGGCTTATGTGAGTCCTATTTTCAAGAAGGGCGATCGTCGCTCCACGAACAACTATAGACCAGTGAACCTGACCAGCATAATATGTAAAGTACTTGAGAGTATTATCAGAGATGCCGCGATGGAACATTTACTATGAAACAACCTTGTAAAGGATTGCCATCACGGTTTTATGTCGGGCGCTCCTGCTTAACACAATGCTCAAGGTATTGGATATTTGGACCCATATTATGGAATATCGACAATATATATCAAGATTTTGCCAAGGCTTTCGTCAGTGTACCCCACGAAAGGCTCAAAATCAAACTGGAAGGGTACGGAATTCGTGGAAATGTCCTAGCGTGGATAGAAGACTTTCTACATGACCGCAAGCAGTGTGTGGTGATTAAAGGCACGAAATCATCATCTGTACCTGTCACAAGCGGGGTACCACAGGGCAGTGTATTGGGCCCACTGTTGTTTGTTTGTTTCATAAATGACATGCCTGACGTTGTACACTCCTCCATACAAATGTTTGCCGATGACGCCAAGTTATTTTAGGAAATCAAGAACCATGCGGACTGTGAAGAGCTGCAGAAGGATCTCTGTGAGCTCCAAGAATGGTCGAAGAAATGGCTGCTGAGATTCAATGTCACGAAGTGTAAGACCATGCACCTGGGGCGTACCAACGGTAAGGAGGTGTATTATATGTCCCAACGGGATGAAGAAACTGCACTATTTGAGACAATGTGAGAAGGACCTAGGTGTGTATGTTGACAATGAGCTGAAGTTCTCGGGCCATTGTGAGAAGAAGGTAAATCAGGCAAATAAATTATTGGGTCTTATAAGAAGGTTGTTCAGATATGTCGACGGTTCGTCCCTCGTAATGATCTTGAAGAGTGAAGTGCTTCCCCACCTGGAGTACTGTCACCCCGTCTGGTCCCTGAGATTTGATAGGGACTGTCAATTGATTGAAAATGTTCAAAGGAGGGCCACCAGACTGGTGCCTGCATTTCGGCACCTCAACTACCCTGAGAGATTGGAGCGCCTGAACTTACCTAGCTTATACTACTGACGGGCAAGGCGCGACCTAATTGAGGTGTATATAAATCTTAAGGGGCACTACTCAGTCGAGTGTCCTTACTTGGAGCTGGCGGACGCTCGCCCCACAAGGGGTCGCAGCTCAAGATTGAAGAAGCCACAGTTCCAGAAAACTGTGAGGGCAAACTTTTTCGGAGTGAGAGTTGTGAATTCTTGGAACAATCTACCAGAAAGTGTTGTGACGGCACCGAGTGTGAACTATTTCAAGACAAGACTTGACCAACACTGGAACAGGTTCAGGTACATTCAGGAGCCGGTGCATGCCCAGTACTTGCCAACAGTGCGTAACAGAGACGTGACCGATCACCTAAGCAGCTACCGAGCCGATCAGTGGTGAAGAGGATAAAAGTAAAAAAAGATTTGTCTTGATGACAGGACTTAAGTGTCAAGTACCTTTTAAAGTCCACAACTACAGAGTCCCTAGTGTGTGATGCCGAACTCCATAATCTGTTATTTTATTCTGAATAAAAATTTGCCCCTTGCTGGGATGTCTTCCTTTATAGTAATCTAAGTGAACTAAGACATGTGTGTGTATGCTCATGCCCTTGTGGCAGGATGATATTATTTAAAAGTTGCTGAGATGTCTTGCAGATCTTGACCTCTCTGGCACATTCGTTAACTCAGTGTTGCTGTCCAAGACAGTACAGCTTGTTTTTTTTCTGTTATTGACTTTTCTTTTCCTGTTCTCCTCGATGATTTGTTGGTATTGCTATGTGCTATCACTAGTTGCACTGTATTTCCCTATGAGTGGTGGATCAAATGCACACTCATAGTCCTTTAGAAAACAGATTTTTTTTCCAGGCACTGCTGCCTGCTGTTTGCCCCATTTTTTTCCAATTTTTTTTTTCAAATTTCCACAGTGGTCACTGTTATCACTATGAACTGTCCTAGCTAAAGGCACAATACTGCACTCTCTGATCGGCCTTTGGATGGTCAGTCACAGCCATGAACATGCCTCGTTTAAAATATTCTGAATAAATCTTGGCATATAGTAATTATTTTATAGTTGTATCCCCACAGCCTCTGGAGATGTTCGGGGTACTTGGTTCTAACTACAGGAGCGAACATAAACACCTGTAGAGTTCTGTAGGTTCTATTCAACGGAAATATACTAGGGTGCGCTTACAAGCACAGGTAGTCCTTACACTCCTAATGGGTCAACTGACCTCTCTCTGACCTCTCAGGTGACATGTGGTACATTAGCAGCTTCCAGATGTCGCCAGGCACATTTATCTAAGCGTGTGGTGACATGAAACAGGGGCATTGCCACACGCTACTGACTAGAGAAGTATTGTATATATATAGAGTACATACATGTTATACATACAACATACATAATATACATACAGCCTCTAGCTCCAGTCAAGTAGGGAGAATATTTCAATACTGTACACAATTGCGAATAACATTAAAAATCTTTTATTGACTTACACATTCACATCACTTAGACGATCTTGATGCTCTTAAGTAATCACTGTCTAATTTCTGACGCTCAACAATGAAGGCCCGAATGCCGAGCACGCTTTGTTACAAAGACGCAACACGACACAACCCACGCAACACGACACAACCCACGCAACACGACACAACCCACGCAACACGACTAATAAAGGAACATGGTTTAGAAAGTATTAAAACTTAAAGAGTATGTATGTGAATGATAGAAATCAAGCTGTCACTTTTTGTGATCTTTTGTTGCAGTGCAGTATTTCTTTTTATTCTCAAGTCTATGTGTTTCAAGCTTTAGTGAAGTTTTTAGAAGAACTGGAGCTTTTGAGAAATAAAAGACCATTTGTTATTATTATTGGGTTCCATGTGCCATAGCCTGATGACATGTGTTGCATTGTACTTCTCTTGAGGTTAAACACACCAGAGTAAATGTTTTTTGCAGTGTGAAATATATTTGACCTTTTATGTAAGTTTATGGTGGTGACAGTCTGTGACCATCTTTGTCTAAATTGAACTACATACATTAGGTGGCTATGACAGAATCTCACACTGTTACTGTGGCAAGTGACAGTTGGTTTATGGGATTTTTGTTTTAGTTGTCAAAGGTTTTACAGAATTTGGGCTCCCTTGACATAGAGGCACTCCAGCCAAGAACAAGACAAACAACATACAGTATATGTTATAATATTCTGTTGGAAAAAGTGAAGTTAAATTATTCTTATGGTAAAATGAAAACAAACTAAAGCCAATTTGTCACTTCTCATGTTCTTGCCTAGAGCGCCTCATATTATATTCAGTGGTTAGAACACCTTTGACTCCTCTACCATCAGTGGTGAGGAAAATACTTATATAATAGAACAGAAGAAGTTAATGTATATTATTGCAATTAATACAATTTTAGGGTCAGCTGGCATATATTGAGTGTGTGGAGACAGCGACTGGTTTGAATTCAGCAGCAGATAAAGGCATAAGCTGTGATGTTCGATATGGTTTCCGATGCAGCAATGTAGACCAAGACCGTGGAAGCTGTCTAGACTACAAAATCAGATACTACTGTTCATGTGGTAAGAATAATGTTAATTTGTTAGTTATATTACAGTTTTTGTGCTGTTACCCAACAATTTAGGCAGTGCCATATGAATTATGTTTGTTCATACTTTTGTTCCTCACAGATATATTTCCTCTTCATAATTAGTACCGTATTTTTTTTACATATAAGAGGCACAGCGATATAATACACACCCCCCATTTTAGCAGGGAGTATTTAAGGAAAAAATGTGTGCACTTTCCTCCTGTAGCCATAATTTTCATAAAACAATATATAGTATACAGTACCAGTAAATGTGAGGAATAAATAAAAACAATACCAATAAATAAGTTTAAAAAAAATACTGTATTGCCAAACCAGTAAATAAAAGCCAAATGAAAGTTTAACACAGTTTCCATTTGCATATACGTCTGTACTCCCTGTTCACCGTAGCAACGGCGACGCTACCTTTGCTGATTCCCTAGCAACGCTCTCTCCCACCCCCTCCCCCCCGAAACAACAATCCGCCCAGCCGTCCTGCCACTCCCCCCCACTAATCCAGCCAACTCGTGTGCAAAGAAATGTACAATATATTCCTTTTATGTGTTTGCCCTTTGGACAATTATTTCTTTTACTTTTATCACAATATGTATGTAGAATGATGTGTGCATGTACTGTATATCAATAAAAATAAATGAAGAAAGTTACATATATCTAGCCGAAAATAACAGGTGAGGAGCAACAGCTTGGCACCAGTAGCCTGATGGTTACAGAGACGAGTCTAACCTGGCTGCAGTGTTGACTGTTGTTGGTGGTGAGTGATGTTGTTGTTGGTGGTGAGTGTTGTTGTTGGCGGTGGTGAGTGGTTGTTGTTGTTGGTGGTGGTGGTGGTGGTTGTGGTTGTGAGTGTTGTTGTTGTTGGTGTTGAGTGTTGTTGTTGTTGGTGAGTGTTGTTGTTCTTTTTGTTGGTGAGTGTTGTTGTTGTTGGTGGTGAGTGATGTTGTTGTTGGTGGTGGTGGTGGTGGTTGTGGTGGAGTGTTGTTGTTGCTGGTGGTGGTGGAGGTTGTTGTTGCTGGCAGGAGTGTTGTTGCTGGTGGTGGTGGTGGTGAGTGCTGGTTGTTGTTGGTGGTGAGTGCTGTTGTTGCTTGGTTGCTGCTTGTTGGTGCGGTGGTGGTGGTGAGTGCTGTTGTTGGTGGTGGTGGTGAGCGTTGCTTGTTGGTTGGTGGTGGTGGTGAGTGCTGTTGTTGTTGGTGGTGGTGGCGGGTGAGTGTTGTTGTTGGTGGTGGCGGTGAGTGTTGTTTGGCGGTGGTGGTGAGCGCTGGTTGTTGGTGGTGGTGGTGTGAGTGCTGTTGTTGGTGGTGGTGAGTGCTGGCTGGTGGTGGTGGTGAGTGCTGGTTGGTGGTGGTGGTGAGTGCTTGTTGGCGGTGGTGGAGGTTGTTGCTGGTGGTGGTGGTGGTGGAGTGCTGGTTGCTGGTGGTGAGCGTTGTTGCTGGTGGTGGTGGTGAGTGTTGTTGGTTGTTGGTGGTGGCAGGTGGAGTGTTGTTGTTGTTGGTGGTGGTGAGCTGTTGTTGTTGTTGGTGGTGGTGGAGTGCTGGTTGTTGCTGGTGGTGGTGGTGGTGGTGAGTGTTGTTGCTTGCTGGTGGTGAGGTTGTTGTTGGTGGTGAGTGTTGTTGTTGGTGGTGAGTGTTGTTGCTGGTGTGGTGGTGAGTGCTGTTGTTGGTGGTTGTTGCTGGTGGTTGTTGTTGTTGGCGGTGGTGGCGGTGAGTGCTGTTGTTGTTGTTGGTGGTGGTGGTGGTGAGCGGCTGTTGCTGTTGGTGGTGGTGAGCGTTGCTTGCTGGTGGTGGTGGTGAGGTCTTGTTGCTGGTTGGTTGCTGGTGGTGGTGAGTGCCGGTTTTGCTTGGTTGTTGGTTGGTGAGTGCTGTTGTTGTTGGTGGTGGTGAGTGCTGTTGCTGGTGGTGAGCGTTGTTGCTGCTTGCTGCTGGTTGCTGCTGGTGAGCGTTGATGCTGGCTGGTGGTGGTGAGCAGCGTTGCTGGTGGTGGTGAGGTTGTTGTTGCTGGTGGTGGTGGAGTGTTGTTGTTGTTGTTGCTGGTGGTGGTGAGTGTTGGTTGCTGGTGGGTGAGCTGCTGGTTGTTGCTGGTGGTGGTGTGTTGTTGTTGTTGCTGGTGCGGGTGAGTGTTGTTGTTGTTGGTGGTGGTGGTGGTGAGTGCTGTTGTTGTTGCTGGTGGTTGTTGTTGCTTGCTGGTGGTGGTGGTGGCGTGGGTGCTGTTGCTGTTGCAGGTGAGGTTGCTGCTTGCTGGTGGTGGCGTGAGTGCTTGCTTGCTGCTGGTGGTGCGGAGTGGGTTGTTGCTGGTTGCTGGTGCTGGTGAGCGTTATTGCTGTTGTTGGTGGAGCGTTGTTGTTGGTTGTTGTTGCTTGCTGGTGGCGGCGGTGGCGGTGAGCGTTGGTTGCTTGCTGGTTGCTGGTTGCTGTTGTTGTTGGTGGTGGTGGTGGAGTGTTGATGTTGCTGGTGGTGGTGAGTGTTGTTGTTGGTGGTGGTGAGGGTTGTTGCTGTTGTTGCTGGTGGTGGTGAGTGTTGCTGTTGCTGGTGGTGGCGTGGAGTTGGTTGTGGTTGGTTGTTGCTGCTGGTGGTGGTGGTGAGTGTTGTTGTTGCTGGTGGTGGTGGAGTGCTGGTTGTTGCGGTGGTGAGTGTTGTTGTTGGTGGTGGTGAGTGTTGTTGGTGGTGGTGGTGAGTGTTGTTGCTGGTGGTGGTGGTGAGTGTTGTTGCTGGTGGTGGTGAGCGTTGTTGTTGTTGTTGTTGGTGTGGTGAGCGTTGTTGTTGCTGGTGGTGGTGAGTGTTGTTGTTGTTGTTGCTTGCTGTTGTTGCTGGTGTGGTGGAGTGTTGTTGTTGCTGGTGGTGGTGGTGAGTGTTGCTGGTGGTGGTGGTGGCGAGTGCTGTTGTTGCTGGTGGTGTGATGAGCGTTGCTGTTGCTGGTGGTGGCGGTGAGTGCTTGCTGTTGTTGGTGGTGGTGGTGAGGTTGTTGTTGGTTGTTGCAGTGAGTGTTGTTGTTGTTGTTGCTGGTGGTGGTGAGTGCTGGTTGTTGCTGGTGGTGAGTTGGCGTTGCGAGGTTGGTTGTTGCTGGTGGTGGTGGCGGAGTGGGTTGCTGTTGTTGGTGGTGGAGTGTTGGTTGCTGTTGCTGGTAGCGAGTGCTGCTTGTTGTTGCTGGTGGTGTGGTGGTGGTGAGTGCTGGTTGGTGGTGGTGGTGAGTGCTGGTTGGTGGTGGTGGTGGCGGAGTGCGTTGTTGCTGGTGGTGGTGAGTGCTGCTGCTGTTGGCGGTGGTGAGTGTTGCTGCTGGTGGTGGTGCGAGTGTTGTTGCTGCTGGTGGTGGCGGTGAGTGCTGGTTGTTGCGGTGGTGGTGAGCGTTGGTTGCTGGTGGTGGTGGTGGAGTGTTGTTGCTGGTGGTGGTGGTGGCTGGTGGAGTGCTGGTTGCTGGTGGTGGTGGTGAGTGTTGCTGTTGCTGGTGGTGCAGGTGAGCGTTGCTTGTTGTTGGTGGTGGTGAGCGTTGTTGCTGGTGGTGGCGGTGAGCTTGCTTGGCGGTGGCGGAGTGCTTGTTGTTGGTTTGCGGAGGTTGGTTGTTGGTGGTGGTGAGGTTGTTGCTGGTGGTGGTGGTGAGGCTGTTGTTGCTGGTGGTGGCGGAGTGCTGTTGCTGGTTGCTGGGGTGTGGTGGTGGAGTGCTTGCTGGTGGTGGTGAGTGCTGTTGTTGCTGGTGGTGGAGCGGCTGGCAGGTGAGTGCTGTTGTTGCTGGTGGTGGGTGAGGTTGCTGGTTGCTGGTGGTGGTGAGTGTTGTTGCTGGTGGTGGTGAGTGTTGTTGCTGTTGGTGGCGGTGGTGAGTGCTGGTTGTTGCTGGTGGTGGTGGCGAGTGCTGGTTGCTGGTGGTGCGGTGGTGGTGGTGGTGAGTGTTGTTGCTGGTGGTGGTGGTGAGGTTGCTGTTGGTGGTGGTGGTGGTGAGTGCTGTTGCTGTTGGTGGTGGCAGGAGTGCTGGTTGCTGGTGGTGGTGGTGGTGAGTGTTGTTGCTTGCTGGTGGTGAGTGCTGGTTGGTGCGGCGGTGGTGGTGGCGGCGTTGCTGGTTGCTGGCGGTGGTGAGCTGGTGGTGGTGGTGGTGAGTGTTGTTGTTGGTTGGTGGTGGTGGTGGTGAGCGTTGCTGGTGGTGGTGGTGGTGGAGTGCTGTTGCTGGTGGTGGTGGTGAGTGTTGCTTGCTTGCTGGTGGTGGTGGTGGAGTGTTGCTGGCTGGTGGTGGTGGTGTGCTGTTGTTGTTGGTGGTGAGTGTTGCTGGTGGTGGTGGTGAGTGTTGTTGTTGTTGGTGGTGGTGAGTTTGCTTGTTGCTTGGCGGTGAGTGTTGTTGCTGGTGGTGGTGGTGAGTGTTGTTGTTGGTGGTGGTGGAGTGTTGCTGGTGGTGGTGGGAGTGCTGTTGTTGTTGCTGGGTGGTGAGTGTTGTTGTTGGTGGTGGTGGTGAGTGTTGTTGTTGGTGGTGGTGGTGAGTGTTGTTCTTGTTGCTGGTGCGTTGGTGAGTGCTGGTTGTTGGTGGTGGCGGCGAGTGTTGGTTGTTGCTGTTGGTTGCTGTTGTTGGTTGTTGGTGGTGGTGGCGGAGTGCTGATGTTTTGCTGGTGGTGAGGTTATTGCTGGTGTGGTGAGGCTATTGCTGGTGGTGGTGAGTGCTGGTTGCTGCGGTGGTGAGTGTTGTCGTTGCTGGTGCAGGTGAGCTGCTGGTGCTGGTGAGTGTTGGTTGCTTGCTGGTTGGCGGTGCAGGTGAGTGCTGGTTGCTGGTTGGTGGTGGCGAGCGTTGCTGGCGGTGGTGGTGAGTGCTGGTTGCTGGTGGTGGTGAGTGTTGCTGGTGGTGGTGGTGGAGTGCTGGTTGTTGCTGGTGGTGGTGTGAGCGTTGTTGTTGTTGTTGCTGGTGCTGGTGGAGTGTTATTGCTGTTGTTGCTGGTGGCTGGTTGTTGTTGTTGCTGGTTGTTGTTGGCTGGTGGTGATGAGTGCTGGTTGTTGGTTGTTGCTTGGT